TCAGTTATGTTATTTATTCTTACTCCTATTATTTTAAAAAATAAAGACTTCTAAAATTAATCACAAAAATGATTAGTTGACCTATTTCAAAATATAGGCCCAATTAAACCAAATAAACACATTTAAAAGTAGGGTTGGCAAAAATGAACCAACCATAACTCGGCTCGGGTCGGGCTGGGTTGAATTTTCTGGCTCATTTATTTTTGCGGGCCAACCCTAACTCGACCCGTTTTTTACAGGTTGAATGCGGGTTGGGCCGGGTCGAGCCGGGTTGGCCCGTTTTGCCAACCCTATTTAAAAGTAGGAAAAAGGGTTTGTCCTTTTAAAAAACACAAGGTTGTATCCTTTTAGTTTTTGACACTATAGCTTACCTGTAAAACATAGTTATAATATGAAAAATTACTTTTTTCTATTTCCTCAATCATTTCAGCTGACGTAGAGAGAGAAAAAAAACTATTTTTCATGTTATAACTATGTCTTACCGGTAAGACATAGTGTTAAAAACTAAAAGGACGCAATTTGTGTCCTTTAAAATAACAAACACTTAACCCTTGAAAGTAACAATCATGAAACCAAATGAAAAACAGGACTATAATTATAGAATATAAAGGTCGATTGAACTATTGTGTTTTGGGTTATTGCACACAAAGAATAGTCAAAAACCTAATTCCCAAATATGAGAACTTTCCTTCGTGTATATAATTATATAAGCAATTATAATTGGGCCCTAGCTAAAATTGTAAGTTGACCCTAGCTAAAATTGTAACAGTGGTAACAGATGAAGATATGGAGCTGCTTTCCGTGTATGACTAGATAACATATTTCTTTCTTCTTAATTTCTTCTTCTTCTTTCATCTTTTTCCAATTGAGGTTTTCTTCTAACCTTTTTTTCTTATTGGCACTTACCACCTGGAACCCAACCATTCTACGACAAGGCACGATGTTTCGTTCCTTTCTTCAAGATTTTACGGATACTTGTTCTTAGAATATGCATTGGTAATTATATTGTCCGTTGGCGAAAAAATTGATTTATATTTTTGAACCTTATAAAAGTAAAAAAATTTGTCTTTGCTGACCATAATTGTTTATTGGGTGTTTCTAACATGAGTGAAATTCATGCCGCCTTTATTTTATTAACAACTTTTTTTTTGTGGTTGTAGTTATTGATTTTATTTCTTTTGAAAAAATGGAGTGTTGTTTTACGTTTACCTTTTTAAAAAAAAATATTGGTTATTAATCAGTGGAAACTGTTTATTGGTGTTATTTGTATTTTATTTCACAACAAGAATGTGAATTTTGGTTATTAATCAGTGGAAACTGTTAAAGAGAAAAATCAATGAAGATATATGTATATAAAAGGAGTATGAAAATTTCTTATACATATCCATTAACAACTTCTTCTTTTTTTTGTATTTTTAAAATTTTTAAAATATCTAAACACTAATTAAATAATTTATGTGGATCCAATGTCATTTAAATGATTTTAGACAGTAGTCGCTGATTATTCCCTGTTTCTTTCTTTTTTTGGTGAAAATTTCATGTTTCTTTTTAATTGTGAAGTTTGTCGTCCATTTATGTTAATGTTCTTCACAGGTCACGGCTAAGGGTATAAATGGGTCAAGTTAAATCAAACTTTGACTTTAATAGCCTAAGCCTATGTAAAATATTTGGAACCTATACTGACCTATTAGCCTATTAAATACTTGATTTATGGCCTGCCATATTATAAAAAACTAAAAAAACCGAATACGACTTGTAAGGCCTACCAAGCTGCAAACTAATGTTTGTAGGCCCAAATCAAATTAAAATATATATAAAAAAAAAATTATTCACAAAGATCACATGAAATCAATTTTCATTAACATCACATGAAATAAGCTTTCATTAACATCACATGAAATAATGTTATCAAAGATCACATGAAAATGTGCATAAAAATCACATGAAAATTTCATATATGTATATATAATTTGCACTTTCTTTACTAATTTTATTTTATATTATATTCTAAATTTTAAATAAATAACTATTATTTGTTAAAATAACATCGATGCTATTACTTTGAAAATTTTAAGTAATTTGTTTTTTAATAGATTTGTGTAATTATGAATTTTTTTTGATAATTTGATATGTCAAAATTTTTAGCCCCAACTAAAATTAAATCTTGACTCCGTCACTGGACAATACATGATAATGTCCACATAATCCCAAAATTAAAAAGAAAAAGAAAAAGAAGACATTATTAATAGATGAATGAAATGGTCAGAAGGATTGGAACACATTGCATACCATAATTCTTTCTTGTATGTTATTGTTTGTCATGATTTGCTTTCCTCAAGTCAGGGAGTGATAATTGACTCTCTCTAAAAATTGCAGATTGTGGCTTCTGTAATAACATAAACTCTACTGAGGAGTTACTAAGCTTCTTTCCTTTGTGATACAGTTTCATTAATGCATCAATGTCATCTTATCCAACAACAATATCACCACCCTTGGTGAACCATACTGGGGAAAAGTCATCGTCAATGTCACAAGTATACCGAACACTAAGTGTGTGTTTGGTATGAGGTTTTGGTTTAGAATGCTTGGAAGGTAGGGGAGGGAAATTTTTTCCCCATATTTGGTATGGGTCAAAGCAAAAATTATTCCAGCAAAGTTTGGTCCCCATCATTTTTTTTTTTTTGAACTACACTTTTGTAAAAAAATTACCAACTCAACCATGGTTTTTTTTTCTCCCAGTATGCTGCGTTAACAAAATTTGCAGACAAAATTGCCCTCGTAGAGGGTTGATTTGGTTTTTTTGTTCTTTCGTTTGTGTTTGAGATGTTGTCGTTTTTTAAGTATTCTAAGCATTTTATCTTTTAAATAAGTCCCTGCTGATATTAGTGTGTGGGGTGTTCTTGGATTATGAAATTAGGGGCAGTTGCATATGAACTTCATTTCTTACCATGTATTTTGTTGTTAATGCACAAGCGAACTGAAGAAAAAACGAACATGGAAAGAGACTGTCGTTTTGTAAAATGAACATTAAAAGCAAATATTCAAACACAATGGGTAATTTTATAATTTAAGTACAGATTCACACAAATATTTTACAACCAACCTAACATAATATAATAAAAATAACTCAACATTTTCGGTAAAATTTTTGGCTTATCAAACACTTTTTTGTAACTTGCCCAGGAAAAAAATTTCTCACCATATTCTCAGTAATATTTTTTCTCCTGTAAAGAAAAAATATCTCCTATACCAAACGCCCCATAGTAGTCCAAGATATCTGCACTTTATATTCTTTCATCGTCCATATCTCAACTATTGCACTTGTCATATCCGTCTTCCAACCTTTACAGCGACTTAGACATCCTCCAATTACCACCAAATTGTACAAATTATCCATCATCGTTACCATGGTAAGATCATGTGGCAAAGGAATCTTTGACAAACTCCTTCCCATCATATCAAAGGCAACAATTTCATTGATTCTATTAGAATGAAGAGCCCCATTGAAGAACAAACCAGCCCTGAATACTTCATCAATCTCCTTCCCAGATGAAAAATCGATACCCTCAATTTTTGAGGATCTCTTTTCGCTATGGTATGCTCCCATATCGATGGATGGGCGAGTGACTATTGCTCTTGAACTTCGTTGGTCAATTGAGTGGTTTTTTTCTCTCCTTTCTTTTTTCGTTTCCGTTGGTGTGTTCCATGATTTGGTTTTGAAGGAGAAAAAATGAATGTCAGAGCCCCAATCAGTAGGATTGCACCATTGCCAAATAACTATTAAATAGTCATTCATTGATCTATCATACCCAAAACCAAATAAAAATTCATTGTTTCTCACGCAACGAGGATATCGTATTAGTTTATGTGCAGCAGTATTGATACAAACATTACATTTGTATTTGCAACGACCAATTTAAGTCATATATGTTTTAATGTAACTTCTACTTACAGCCAATTAATATGTCATTTTTTTGAGCATTTTACAAGATATGGAGAAAATCCTGACCATAAAGAGCAACATAATTTTGGCGAATGGCCTTAGATTCGCGAGACTTTCTCCGCAATAAATACTCCACATGATTTTAGCTGTTTGATTGCATCATTTCCTGTAAACAACACAAATTTAGAAATGGCTTAGAAACTTTAGGCTAGTCATTGGATGATTTAGAATTTTGTCCTATCTGAAAATCATTAATAAAAAAAAAAAAAAAAACTTTCAGCTAAACCAAACTGGAATAAAAGGATCCACAATTTCTACCAGAAAAATAATCATGAAGGTGTTGGCGATAAGTTCATGAAGGTGTTGGCAATCAAGTTTATAAAAGGATGTACGATGATAAAGGAAGAGAGAAAAAAATAACCAGAAAAATATATACAGGGCTTATCGTTTCTCAAGCTGCTCGAGATAATTTTATCCCCGGCTATTAAATCATAACTGTACAAAGATGGATGAATGGTGATAAAGGAAGGGAGAGAAAAAAAGAATCATAACCATTCAAAGGTGAATCAATTAATATAAAAAAATAAATAAATAAAATGACGTAATTTTGAGGTGGACGGAAATAAACTTATCTCAAGCTGCTTGAGAAATATTTTTCTCTATATATATATATATATATATATATATATATATATATATATATATGAGAAAGGTTATATTTACAAATTCTTGTAAACTACATTAAGTATTACCGGTCATACTTAGTGTAATTCGTAAAAAACAATTATAAACAGATCATTTATATTTATATATATATATATATATATATATATATATATATATATATATATATATATATATATTCAGCTCGATTTAAATACACCAAGTTGGCGGGAACAAGTTTAATAATACACTTAGCAAAAAAATTAATTTACATTTTTAAAGAAATTATTTAATTAAAAATGTTAAATTAAATAAGAAATTGGGTTGGTCTAAGTGTAAGAAAAAAGAAAGAGGGGAGCTTCTGTTTGGGCCCTAAATTCGTAAATGAGAAGTTCACTTAAGACTACAGAAGGAGCAACAGGAAGCAACGCACGACGAACACGACGGCTGAACAGAGAGCTTCTCCGGCGACGAAGACCGCAAAGCACGACCTCCACCTCCACCTCCACTTACTCCCTTGCTCACAGGCATTGCTGTCCTTTCCCCTGTTTCACACTCTGTCAAAATTTATATCATTATTTCTTTGTTGTGCTATGGCATTTCATGCTCCTCACTTGTCTTCAGTTTGGGTTTGAAATATTTTAAAATTGGCTTTTAAGTAATTGGGATTGAAACCCATTGCGTTGGAATTTTTCATCAGGTAATATTGGTATGTATTTTCATCAGGTTTCCCTCCCTCACCGATTCAACCCATTTTTGCAATGTCCTCCTGTATTCAAATAAATAATGTCTAAGTTGGGAATAACAAATATAGCAGAAAATAATTTAAATATTTTTGTTTACTTCTTTTCACAGTTGCCAGAATTACATATAATTAAACTATGCAACAGGTCATCCTTGATTAGAACACAAGGCTCTAAAATTTCTCAGCAAACACAATTTTTGAATTTAGGGTTATAGCAGATATAAGAAACGTTGTACACCTGCCAATCCCCACCAACCTAAGCCCTCTCTGAAGAAAAGATGAAAAACAAAGATAGCAAGAAAGAGTATAAATTTGGAATCGGCATATGTTAAATCTTTTTTAAACATTTCTCCTCCATCCTCATTGTACATGTGACTGAGTTGCCACTATCTGACAAACAGTATGTGGATAAAGCAAAGCCTATTTGCTAGAAAAAGTATACCTTTTAGATCAAGAATGCATGAAATTAAAATCTATAATGCATGAAATGAAATTAAAACTGTAAAGAACCTTGGGATACACCACCCCAAAAGCTAGCTCAAAGGGTGAGAGTGCCCAAGGTCTTATAAACTCACATTAGTTGCACATACAACCAATCAATGTGGGACTATAAATCTCAACACGCCCCCTCACACGAGAGCGATTGGGCTTGAAGAGTGGACAATGCAACAGGCCCAGCCTACCTGTGCTAAGAAACGCCAAAAGAGAAAGTGGGGGGCGGCGAGGCTCTGATACCATGTAAAGAACCTTGGGATACACCACCCCAAAAGCTAGCTCAAAGGGTGGGAGTGTCCAAGGTCTTATAAACTCACATTAGTTGCACATACAACCAATGTGGGACTTTAAATCTCAACAAAAACAAAGATACCCAAGAAGTTCGATCATTTCTAAGACAGAGCGACACCAGTGACAAGTTTAAAACCTAAGGAAGAATTCTTGTATGGTTCGATTTAATGCACTGTATTCCAGTTTCGTGTGTATTTTTATTTTATTTTTACTCAAAATTTCCTTTTATAATATAGTTATTCTGTTGTAGAGTGTGGTTATTTCGCTAGAACCTGAGGTGGCAAAAACATTAACAGAAAAACTATTCTTTAAGCATGATGAGATGGCTGCATTTTAGTATGGTTATTATGATGAGGGGATTGGTTGTTCAAATGGAAATTTTGGTGGGAAAAAGGTTCCTGTCAATTCAAATTTCAAAACAGAAATACAGTGCCTGATTTGGCACCACACAATAATTGTCTTAGGCTAAGGAGGGAAAAAGTGAAATGTAGAAAGATATTGAAAAGAAGGTACCTTTAATTTCTTTGCATCCATTCCAGATGTAACCTCGCAAAGAATGAAATTCGAATAGCTTGGAAAAGGTCGAAAAAATGGAACTTCCTTCAAAAGATCATAAAGCCTTCGTCTTTCTTTCACCAAAGCATCTTTGCTTTCTGGCATACCCACCAATCATTTTCTTTTGCTATGGGTTTCTTTCCTTAGTGCTTATGGGGTTTCTTCTTTGTTTGTCTGGCTGATAGACCATTTACAATCTCTGGTTGAATTCCAATAAAAAGGTGTATTTCGTGGTTTTAATTTTATGGTGCTCAAATCATGTCACAATTCTGCTGGTTTTTGGTCGGCTGTGTAGTGGTTGATTTATTTGGATTGAGGTATTTTCTGTGGTGTATGCATTTTGTGGTTTCCTTTATCTGGTGTTGCATTGTATCATTATTTTTGCTGGGTACCTGAGCTTGGATTGTTGTATATTATGTGGTTTGCATTTTTGTGGTCTCTTTTACTAATTTCCTGTTCCTATTATATGGGTTATGTGACTGCACTCTTCCACTTAAATGATTAGATATATCTTTCAATTTAGCTATTATGAATTATGATTAGCTTTTATGATTATCAACTCAGGCCACCCGGACAAGTAGCTGCACGAATCTTATGATTGAATCTCTAGTGTAGATTTTGATTCTTAGATGTTGTCTTTCTATTTGATTTGGATGAGGATGAGGATAATGATGCAGATGCACACAGCATGAAAATTACTTACCCAAATGAAAGCAATGTTGGTCAAGGTTTAGATGAGTTTGGTGGAGAAAGAGGGCCTGAATTTGACACAAATTTGATGCCATGGGCATAGTGATAGCGTGCATTTGCATTTATTTGTGCTTATTTTGTGCAATTTATTGATTAATTATGAACTTGTAAAAGTGTGATTGAGTAATTTTTGAGCTTATTTAGTGAATCTTGTTTAACTCATTTTAGATATGGAGAATATATTTAAATATATATATATATATATATATATATATATATATATATATATATATCCAGTCAATCGGTCCGACTAGTGACCAAGTACCCCGACCGATCCGGGTTTAATAACACTGATTCCTGCTAATTCCAATCCTGTTGTAACATTTTTGGGGTTGGTCACTTTGCACTAATATTGGGGATTGACAACTATGGTATACACTATCTGAGATTGACGTCTATGCTTCATATGTAATGGTTTCCATGTTGTACTTTTAGTCACAAAGTTTCTCATATCTTTTGCATTTGCAGGAATGGTGGGTTTATCTCTTGGAGAACAACATTTCATCCAAGGAGGTGTTGCTCAAGACCTTCGTAGTGATGGTAGAAAGAGATTGAGTTATCGACCAATCTATGTTGAAACCGGAGTCATTCCTCAGGTAATTCTGAAATGAGTTGGAATTTGGCAGGGTACCAGTATTCTGATGATTCGACCCTAGCTGACCATCTGAATTTTTCTTGCTCTAAATAGTTTTAATTTGTACATTCAATGAACTTCATGACAGGGGGCAGATGGTTCAGCTAGAGTCAGAATGGGTGGGACAGATGTCATTGCCAGTTTGAAGGTTTGTTAAAATGTTGGGAAGAATCTCTTTAACATCCTTTTGTTTAATGTTTTGAACAATTTTTTCAAATCGTATCAGTTCTCTGACTGACCATGATATATTGGCTACACACATTTATAGGCTGAACTTGGAAAGCCTAGCTTATTGCAACCTGACAAAGGGAAAGTCTCTATACATGTTGATTGCAGTTCGACTGCAGAGCCAGCTTTTGAGGTTGGGCATTGTATTGCTTTTCTTCCTCATTGTTTAGTGAATATTGCTGTTTTATATTCATATTTAAGTACTGTGAATATTGATAGCAAAACAAACAAGTAAATCCTTAAAACCTTGGAATAAGGTTAAATGCCTGCAATGGATCAAATAAGCTTTAGACTCTCATCAATGAGAGTGTTTTCTATTATTGATGTCTTATTTATCCATCTTGATTGGTAAATACCTTTTATTGCTTCAATATAATTATTTTCATTTGGTGTACTACATCTTTGCTTGTATATAGGGTAGAGGGGGTGATGAGTTGTCGGCAGAATTGTCAATTGCTCTTCAACGCTGTCTCTTGGGTGGTAAAAGTGGAGCAGGTCTATCTTCCTCCTAGCATGAAGATTATGCTTACTACCATATGTTTTTCCTACCATGTTCTTGCCTCTCTTTAATTTCTTATTTGTGGCTGTTGAGCTCTTGACACTGTTACAGGTGCTGGAATTGATCTCTCCTCACTTATTGTTATCAAAGGAAAAATTTGTTGGGATCTGTACATTGATGGGCTTCTTGTTAGTTCAGATGGAAATTTGTTGGATGCCCTAGGCGCTGCCATTAAGGTACAACCAACATAAAACAAAAATTGAATAATATGAAGGAAAATTGCTTGAAAAGATGAACTAGCCGTAAAATATAATTGAAAATATCCTTGTTTTTTGTAGTTGTTTTCTTGTAGTTATCCCAAATGATTTTGCATTCAGTTTGATGTTGAGAATTTTTTTGGGGGATATAAAGCTATTTTCAGAATTAACTAAGAAAGGCCCTAATGCAGCTAATATCTGTTATTCTTTTAGGCTGCTTTGAGCAATACGGGTATTCCAAAAGTTCAAGTTGCTGCTGGTTCTTCAAGTGATGAGCAACCAGAAGTTGAAGTGAGTGATGAGGAGTTTCTGCAATTTGACACATCTGGAGTCCCTGTCATAGTTACACTGACCAAGGTAAACATACTTGTGCTATCCTGCCTTCTCAGTTGACCATATTTTATGATAATGTCATGCTCTGTTTTGTAGGTTGGGAGGCACTATATTGTGGATGCCACATCAGAAGAAGAATCGCAAATGAGCTGTGCTGTTTCTCTCTCTGTCAATAGGCAAGGGCACATCTGTGGTGTAATCAAACGAGGAGGTGCGGGTCTGGATCCAAGTGTCATTCTTGATATGATATCTGTTGCTAAGCATGTGAACGAGCAGTTAACAAACAAATTGGATTCAGAAATAGCTTCTGCTGAAGCTGAAGATGAGTCATGACATAGAACATAGTGATAACTAGGATGCATTGTACACATTAATTGATTAGTGGTTGACATGGACAAAATTCTGTAATTTGATAACAACTAGGCATTAAATGTATGTCAGAAATTCTTGTCTTTTGAGTATCGTAGACCTGACTTTAGCTTTGAGATGGCTGTTTGATGTCATGCAAGATTTTAAGTTGCGGACTGATGTTGTTGAGATATATAAAACTATTAATATAGCCTCACCTAACAGCTTAAACTTTTGGGTTGAATTGGTTTTTTACATGGTATCAGAGCCTTGTATTCCGGGTTCGATCCTCGCCGCCCCCCACTTTCTTTCAAGTGGAATTTCTTTGTTCGCACAGGTAGGTGGGCTTGTGCATTGTCCACCCTTCAAGTCCAATGGACTCTCGTGTGAGGGGGCGTGTTGAGATATATATCACCCAACAACTTAAGCTTTTGGGTTGAATTGGTTCTTTTACAGATGTGGTACACAATGTTTAGATGAGGTTTGCAATCGTGCGTTGATATTTAATTAATCAGCAACTCATTTTCTATCCTCTCTTTATTTCAAGTGTGGTTTTTATTTCAGTTAAGGTGTCAATGAGTTGATATCTTATAGTGAAAATGTCCTTTCTGCGCTAATTGTTTAGGATCCCATTTCTTGCTTGAGTTTTATGAGCATGGAGTTGCTTGGTTTATATGCAGCTGAACCTGAGCCCTCGAAATGAATTCATCCCTTTCTTTGATTTTTATTTTTGAAGATGACTTCATCAAATTATTTGTTGGCGCCAAAATATGTAAAGAACTTAGTAACTTGTGCAAAGCACAAGTGTGTGTATATATATAGAGAGGTAGGATCCTTTGACACCAGTGTCAAATTTTAAATTTGACACCTCATCTCAGAGTCGTTAGATCAAAAAAGATCAACGACTTTGATTTGCAGGCATGTGACACCATTGATCTTTTTTGATCTAATGGCTCTGAGATGAGGTGTCAAATTTGAAATTTGACACTAGTGTCAAAGGATCCTACCTCATATATATATATATATATATATATATATATAGCAAAACATTTCTGTAGCCACTTTAGATAAGGTTGTCTACAGCTACCCTATTTTAACTAAGTATGACCGGTCATACATTAAAATTGCATTTTCTCTCTCCGCCACGTCAGCCGACAGTGTCTAAGGAAAGAGAAAAAAAGAAAAGCTTTATTGTTATAACTAAGTATGACCGGTCATACTTAGTTAAAAAGGGGTAGCTGTAGATAATTTTATCTAAAGTGGCTGTAGAAGTACTTTTCCCATATATATATATATATATATATATATATATATATAGGGATAGGATATTGTGACACCCAAGTTATGTTACACCCATGTGACACCCAGTCAATCTCACCGTTAGATCGCTTATGTTGATCCAACGGTTATACTTATTTTTATCTTTGTATGGTCATGATTTCCCAAATTTAATATTTTATATTTATTTCTACCTTTGTATGGTTATGATTTTCCATATTTAATGCTTTCACTTTAAATTTAGGAAATCATGACCATACAAAGATGGAAATAAATATAACCGTTGGATCAACATAAGCGATCTAACGGTGAGATTGACTGGGTGTCACATGGGTGTAACATAACTTGGGTGTCACAATATCCTATCCCATATATATATATATATATATATATATATATATATATATATATATATATATATATATATATATATATATGTATATGGGATAGGATCATTAACATTGGTGTCAAATTTAAAGTTTGACACCTCATCTGAGAGCCCGTTAAATCAAAAAAGATCAATGGTGTCACATACTTAGAAATTAGAGTCGTCGATATTTTTTTATCTAACGACTTTCAGATGAGGTGTCAAACTTTAAATTTGACACTGATGACAAATTAAAAAGTTTGACACTAAATCATAATCGTTGATTTCTGTCAATTTGATGGTTATAATTCATTGCGTTAAACTTATTAATTAATTAGTAACGCACAATAAATTATAATTATCGATTGTCGGAAATTAACGGTTAAAATATGGTGTCAAAGGATCTTATATATATATAAAAGCTCGACAAAACAAGCTCGACTCGGTGGGGTAGGCTGAGTTTTACAACCTGCCTAACTCGCCTCGCCTAACCCCCTCTCTTTTTTTAATGCAAAATGTAACTCGGCGGGGCGGACTGAGTTTTTTTCTCATTTTCAAAAGTAGGGGCGGGGCGAGTTATATTGTGTTTTTTTTGTGTGTGTCTTGCTGTATTTGTTTTTTTGAATGTATAAGTAAAATTTGAATAACAAATACAAAATATACCACAAGGATTCTTTTTTATTCTAATGTACCAAAGATTATAGTCTTCAAAAAAATGTGTCATATATACTTTTAAGAACATGTAATTTAATATAGTCGGATATGTCTTTCCAAAAGCATTCATTTTCATATATGCCCTGATTCTGTTATATGTTATATAATTACATCTTAGGCTTTCATCTGATTCAATGGAAAGTAGTCTGAGGTTGACTCAGTTGTCCACCCAAACCTCATATTCTTTTGAAAATGAGTTTCTGAAGGATACCGAAAGGAATTGTATCGATTACATTAAGAATTGCAGGGAGGTATATTTTCACAACTGATGAATGTTTTCCCATATCTTTATTGGATTGTGTTTTTTTTGTTCTTATGTTTTTATTATTTATATGTCAGGTTACGACATGCATTACTTTTGGAACCATATAGTTGATTGAATCGAAATACAACTGGTAGTACAAGCCCTATGAGAAATGTCTATATTCTGTTTGTTCTGATTTTGAAAATATGGTATTGTAAAAACTGCCAAAAACATTGGGATGATTATCATCCAAAGTAAATTATTGTCCCCAACGTATTTCGAATCTTAACATTTCAATGACAAAGTACTACAAATTTCATTTATTCCTTTGTAATGCGTAACTAAATAGCCAGTGTTCAAGTATTCAAGTGAGGGTTGTGGATAACACAGATTCTGCATCTTTTCTTCTGTTCGATAGAGTTTGTGTTGCTTTGTTGGGAATGAGTGCTGCTAATTTATGTGAGCAGCATTTCAAAAGAGTCTGATTCTAATTCCTTCGCACTTTCTCTTCACTGAGGTTCTTTTAAGAAAAATTAATTTAAATTAACTTTGTATAACATACCGATGTTGTTGGGTGGTGATTTGGATCATTATTTGAAAGAACTTAACGTTCATAATGACTAGTCCATGTTATTTAAAGTCAATAGGAAAAAAAAGAATTTGGAATCATAAACCGAGCCAAAATATCAAGTTTTTAAAGTTTGCTCAACGAAACTATTATCGCATCATACCTTAAATATGTTGTTGACCCTAATGCATGTTGTTTTCATTTTCAAACATTATTTGAGTATATTAGTACTTTTTATTAGTTTTACACATAATTTTAATTTTCAAGATCAAGCAGTATTTGATAATGCTTGCGATACTAATGTTGTATCAGCATATCCGAAAAGAGCTATGGTATCTTTAAATTAAAATTAGATTTTATCAATTAAATATTTTTTGCGTTATTTGTATAAGGTTTCATAATTTTATACAATTTTATTGTCTTACCAGGATGATGAGAGTCAAACATGTGATAGTGCCGATGTTGCTGTTGTTTCCCTCACTTTGTTGTCACAATTGATTATAAAATCTGATGTCGTCAAGGAAGAAAATTTTAATTATTCAGTTAACCGTCCTAACAAAAAGATTAAGATAGAGAAAGAGTCAAGTACTTACCCATTATTTGTATGCTATGAAGCACCGACACTTCAAAAATCCTTACATGTCGTGTCCGACACTCGCTGACACTCCGACACTTCCCGACACTCTAATACTTATTGCAAAGACTCAAAAAAGGTTCAAATGTTATGTTGTGTTGCATTTTGAGTTCCAATTATTAGATTCGTTATATAACAATTACAATTTTATTGAGTTTAATATAAACATTTAGGATATATTATGTTTCTTTGCAAAATTGATGGGTATTATAAGTTTAGTTTTATTTTTTTGTTAAGTTATTGAATACTAAATATAATATGCACTACATAAATTAAAAATATTATATAATATTGAAACGTGTCCTAACGTGTCGAAATTTAACATTTTTTAAATTAACGTGTCGTGTCATGTCGTATCCCGTGTCCCGTGACAGTGTCGGTGCAACATAGTTTGTATGTATATAATTTTCTACTACATATTATTTCTATATTATATATCATCAATACATTATAGTGTCCCAATTTTATTTTATTTTTAATTAGTTCTATTGCTGAAGTCGAAGACACCTTGTTTGAGAAAGGGGAGTTGTATATGGACAAAGTTGCTGGGAAAGAAGTTGTGTAGCATCAACTTTATTCTAGGTGTTGTTGAACTATATATTTGAGAATTATTAGATAGTTAGAAAATATAGAATGTCTTAATATTTATTTGACGTTTGATTGAACAATTGTGGATGATTGTCTAATGTTTAACGTAAGGTTAAACATTAATTATTTGAAGTTATGATATTTAATATAATCTAAATTTTTTGTGTTTGTTTTTCTTCTTCGTCTTCTGAAGTTAATCTTCTGCAATAATTAATATACAATAATTCGCTTATTACTTCAAATTTTGAAATATTTATTTCTTTGTTTGATTACAGAAAAAAAAAGTTTAATAAAATACATTTGGGTTTTAAATTTCTCATGCAACATGAGAATTGAATTCTCATGTTGTAGAGACAAAAACCCATATGTTAGAAAAAAAGTATATGTAGGACCCACGTTGGCACGGAAATCGAAGGGTGTGTAGAAAAATTTAAATTCTCATGTTAAATGAGAATTATAAAACTCAATACATTTATGGTAAAATATCTTCAACTAAAAAAAACGAAGAGACATATTCTGCATCGTAAAACTATGTTGTTCATTTAATTTTTTATTATTCATGTGTCTACACTTCAACCGACTTCTTTTAATTTATATTTATAAGGAAGTTTTTTTTTTTGGTAAACTACATGTTAGTCTATTAATCCTAATTATTTTCTAAAACCTTATGATATTCCTTTTTTTGCCATGAACCTTCTTTCAATGGCTGATTTTTCATCTTCTGCAAAGCGGGGAGTGATTGAAAAATAGAGACAGGTGTCCCTAAAATCTATTCCAAGAAATTTATCATTGCAGATTTTTGGAGTCAATAATAT